GTTCCAGTCACACTGGCCTCTTGCTCTTCCTGGAACACACCGGACTTGCTCCTGCCTCAGGACCTTTGCACTCACTGCTCCCTTGCTGACCCACTTGCCCAAGATTCCACATGACCAGCTCCCTCACCTACTTAGAATCTTTCCCCTCCTCAGGAAGGCCTCCCTGACCACTCTGTTTAAAACTGCAGCACATCTCACATCCCAGCCCTCTTGCCTGCTTTATTCTTTTCTCTTGCACTTGTCACCCTCTAACGTATTGTCTGTTTTACATGTTTATTTTGTTTATTGCCTGTTACCTGCCCTCATTAGAATGTAAGCACCCTGAGAGCTGCCTTAATATCTCTGTCATTCATGAGTGGATTCCCAGGGCCTAAAATAGCGCCCTGGTGGCATGGTAGTTAAGCACTTGGCTGCTAACCAGAAGGTTGGTGGTTTGAACTCACCCAGTGGCTCCATTGGAGATCTGCTCCTATAAAGAACGATTCCAGCCTAGGAAACTGCATGGGGCAATTCTCTGTCACACAGGGTCGCTATGAGTTGATTATTGACTCCATGGCTCCTAATGACAAAATAGTTCCTGACACGTGGTAAGTATTCAATGCGTAATTGTTGAGTGAAAGAATAAGACTGAAGCGAAGAGAGAGTCTATAACTTAAACAAGATCACACAGCTAATAAATGGCTGAGCTGTGATTTCTTCTTTGCTACCAAGCTGCAGAGAATGTTAGAGAGTGGATGCTAATGGTAGTACCAGATTTTGAACCTGGATTTGCCTGGCTTTAAGTTCAGTGTGGGAGAGGGAAGCCATCAAGAAGCGGAAGAGGCTGGAGGAGGAAACAGTGCTCGGCGCCTGGACCGCACAGAGGAGTGAGGCAGGGGAGGGTCCCAGTTAGGAGAAGAAAGGAGCAATGTGGTTTCGGGGTTGGTGCACTTGGCAATGAGCAGGAAATTGCTCCAGGATTTTGAGCAAACTAGGTTCCCCTCTTGGAGCATCAGTGTCTTCGTGGGTAAAACGAGGGGTTGGAATGGATGATGTGTGAGCGCCTTCCCTTCCACCCTTCTGGAAGCCGAGCCCTTTCATGCTGGGCACACAGCAGCCTGGGGCAGGTGCTCTGTGTTCCACAGGCCTCTGGGTGCCCTGGCTCCTCCCCCTGTGCCACCCACTCTCTGGCACCAGCAGGAAATGTTGGGCTGGCTAGTGTGTGCCCAAGAGGAAGTGATGGGCAGCAGGCCAAGAGCTTTACAAGCTTACCTGGGCAGTGGGGCAGAAGGAAGGCCTGGTTGGGGGTCTACAGGCCCCCCACTCCGCAGCTCCTGAGGGGGACTCTGTTCCTTGAGTGTCCCCCACCACCCCAGCCAGGCCAGCATCCCTGGACACCCATCTCCTGCTACCCCTGGCACCAGTTGCACGAGGACAGCCCCAGATGGCTCCCTGGCCTGGGGACAAAGGCTACACTGTGCCTGACCCTGGGCTGGCCTCAAGCTGGGTCACACTGAGCCCTTCTGTCTCCAGTTGGGGGTGAGGGACAGACGGCACCAAGGTGACAGGCCTTTTTCCTTTCTCTCTTCCCCCATGACTCCCCAATCTGAGGAGCTGACTCTCCCAAGGGAAAAGTGACAGAAGGCATCTTGTGTCTTGAGCTAGGGAACAACAGAGCATTCACTGCTCAGGCTGCCTTGTCACACCCAGGACCCTGCTGGGCTCAATGCCCCAATTGTCCCCAGCAGGGAGAGTCATCCACTCTCTGTTATGGTCACCACCCAGCCGCCTGCTCCCCTGTCACCATCAGGAAGTCCATCCCTACATCTGACCTCCATTCCTCCTGCTACAGTGACAACCACTTCCTCTCAGGGTCTTCTCAGAGGTGGGTGGAGAGCAACTGGTCATCCCTCTGTGTCCCTGGATTCCATGCTCCTGCCTGCTCTGGTCAGCTACCCCCAATCTCCCCCTCCTTCCAGCTCCCTGTGTCTCCCCCTCCACCCCAGGAGCAAGCTTGATGGCCCCTTGCTCCTCACTGACTCACTGAATTGTGGGGAGAGCAGGTGTGATTCAGGCTGGTTCTCCTTTGTCTTGAAGACATTAGGAGCCTCCCTCCTGTGAGATTTATACTGAATTCCCTTCTCTATCCTCCTTCCCTCCAGAGAGAGAGTAAGGGAGGAGATTTATGGCCACTACTGGTGGATTCCTGAGCCACAAACCCAACACGACATCCCATAAATCCCAGACTGCAAGACGGCTTTATGGGGAAGTCCTGTTTTCAGAAGGGGGAGTGGCTGATTCCTCCCAGGCAGAGCTGAGGCTGCTCCCCTTCCCCTGCGCCCCCCCCCAAAAAAAAACCTGAGATGACCATGACTGAGCCCAGAGGGTATCAGTGTATGTGTGTCAAGGTGCCAGATTCCAGGGCAGAGACATTTCCTTCCCTTTGGTGCTGGGGGGTAGGTAATGTGTGTGGGGCTGTCTCTTGCTCCACTCAGCATACCCTCTACTCCCTGCCCCTGCCCAGCTCTCAGGATCCCCCACTTCAGCCCAGTAACTGGGAAATGGGTGATCTGGAAACCTGGTCGGAGTGCCATCCCTTACGTGGACCTCAGGTGTGTCATATCCACATAAACCATGGCTTCATGTCTACATCATTAGGGACTCTCTTAAAAAATACATGCTCCCAGGCACCTTCCTCAGAATCTCAGTTCCATCATCTGAGGGGGAAGCACATGAATATGGACTTTTTTATAACCCCCTACCCCATCCTCCATGATATTGACATTCAGCCAAGTTTGAAAATAATACATCTGCATAATGGGGACATCTTTGCTCTCCTGTTGTGCTGTGAAATCAGTCACTCAGGGAGTGTCTGAATCCCCTCAAACTGGACAGAGAGGTTGGCTGCCCTCTGAGAGGGTCCTGCCTCTGAGTCCTGCAGATGGCTGGCCCAGAGCTGAGGTGGATCAGCTGAGGTTGGCTGCTGAGGTTGGCTGGTAGGAGTGAGTTAAGGGATGAAGAATCAGGAAGGCCGGTGGGTTCTGCCAAGGAAGCTGGAAGAGGAGCTATGAGCTCTGTTCAACTGGGCAAGGTGTCTCAAAGGGGGCACCACCAGACTCTGAGTTCCTTGAGAGTAAACCAAAAAACCAAACCAGTTGCCATGAAGTTGACTCTAACTCATGGAGACCCCATGTGTGTGTCAGAGTAGAACTGTGCTCCATGGGGTTTGCAATGGCTGTCATCTTATGAAAGTGGTTTGCCAGGCCTTTCTTCCATAGCACTGCTGGAAGGATTCAAGCCTCCAACCTTTCAATTAGCCGCCAAGCATGTTACCCATTTATTTACAACACCCAGGGACTCCTCCTTGAGAATAGAGACCATGTTTTACTCTCCTCTGTAACCCCAGTGCCTAGCACAATGGAACTGAGTAAGGCTTTAGGACCCGTGGGCAGATGGGGCTCGGCTGGCAGTGCAGGCCTATAGCCTCTCATCTGAGGAGCACCAGCCTGAGCACAGACAGACAGCCTGGTTCTGCCTCATCTCTGGGCTCTGGGGAACCAGAGGACCACAGCTTAGCTGCCTTTGGGTGCAGCCAGAAGCCTGCAGGCCAGGAAAGGGGCCCTCTGGATGCTGGCTGAGGACAGAAGGGTGTGATCACTGAGCAAAGCAAACATATTAACTGACCTATAATCCCTTAAACCAGGAGGATCCAGGAGGGGCCTGGTTGCCTTGGCAACTGAGTGCTGGCCAGTGGCAGGACTGAGAGAGCATCCTGCAGGAGTAGACTTGCCTGGTACATGGGCAAAAGCTAGCAGTGGGTGCAGCGTGGTCCCCTACCATCATAGGCTCCTAGTCTCTTGTGCAGGGGTGGGTGGGGACTCTTAGAAGGCCTCTTGGTCCAGGCCCTGCTGTAACTGAGGGTGGTGGGGCAGAGCAGGATGGGGGTTGGCTGCACTAGGAGCTGAGGAAATTATGGAGGGGAGGGGCCACGCAATGGGACAGCCTCACTCGAGGTTTTCAGAGCAGGCCAGTGATGGAAGGGTCTGCGGGTGGAGGTCCTTGTATGGGTGCCACCGGAAGGCCACATTGTGTCCTCCTGCTCAGAGGATAGAAGAGCCAGCAGTGAGGGGCCTGAGTGTGAGCAGAGCAGAGAGGGTGAATCTCCACCCCCTCTTGATCTCCCTGAAGGAGGATGCAGGCCCACTCAAAAGTTCTGGAAAGGGAGAACTCATGCATCCCCTTCCCTGGGGCCCTCTCTGTTTCTGGCAAGCTTCTGTGTTTCCCCTGAGACCTTCAACCGCTTCTGACCTACCATATTTCAGCCAGAGAGAAGATGGGCTGGGCCAGCTCAGTTCCACACTTCCCCTTCTTATCCATTTCCTCTTTTTCCCTTTCTCCTGGGGACCCAGGACAAGCTAGAGAGGAACCTTCTGGTATCAGTGTCAGGGTGAAATGGAGTTTGACCAGAGATCTTGCCCTAAGGGTGTGGGCCAGGCAGGTGAATATTCAGCTATGGGCACCATTAAGGATTCCTGGCTGCTAATCTACTGAAGCTCTTATACACACGTTGGTAGAGCTGCTGGCCTGAGGACTACGAACTCTTGTGCAATCCCTGACACCCCAGCCCTTTCTCCAGAATTCTCTAGATCTCCAGCAGCTAAAGGGTTAATGTGAAGGGAGGTAATAAAGGTGAGAGGTGGCCTCCGTGATCCTGTTTGCACTTTATACCCACCATTTGCTGTCCTAGTTTGTGTGTATTATGAATATCTCCCCAGAGGAAGGAATTTCTGTAGGATAGATTGAGAGGGAGGGAGAGGGTTAGGTCACTACCCTCAGGGAGCCCTAGATTTGATGTCACAGCCCTGGCTCCCAGAATGCACTGTGACAGAGTCTCAGACCTCTTAGAGTTCCCAGCGTGATGAGGGTCAAGACCCTCAATCCACGTTTGGTATGGACCTGGACTACATTGCCTCATTCTTCTCACCTGTTCTCACTTCTCCTGTCTCAGGACCTGGGCCCTGATGACCATGAACAAGATGAAGAACTTTAAACGCCGTTTCTCCCTGTCAGTACCCCGCACTGAGACCATCGAGGAATCCTTGACAGAATTCACAGAGCAGTTCAGTCAGCTCCACAACCAGCGGAATGAGGGTGAGGGGACTGGAGACCCCATGCCAGCTGGCTTTCCCATCCCTCATGTTCCCCCAAAGCCCCTCTTTCCCATCACTCACTGTTGTCAGGGGCACCTTTGGCACTTAGCCCTTGAGAGAGGATGGAATGGGGGAGTGGACTTCCCTTCTCTCCCTCAGGGGCAGGGAGGGGAGCTGATGCTTCTCCCTCTCAGACCTGCAGCTCAGTCCTCTTGGCAGAGATCCCCAGCCAGAGTCCAGCACCTTCTCCCCCACAGACAGTGGGGAGGACCCCAGGCCACTGTCTCCTGGCATGCGGTACCGGCGGCAGAACCAGCGCCGCTTCTCTGTGGAGGTGAGGGGCTCTGGGCGCTGCTGTGTGCATGTGGCAGGGCAGTGCATATCCCCAGATGTGTGCGCAGGAGAATATTTGCCTTGGAACCAGACTTCATGGGTTCAAATCCCAGTTCTCCCATTGATTATCTGTGTGACTTTGAGCAAGTTACTTATACTCTGCCTACCCTAGTTTCTTCTTCTTTAAAACAGTCACTGGGAGGATTAAATGAGTCAATATACGTCAAGTGGTTAGAACATTCTAGGCACGTAGGAATTTAATAGGTATTATTATTATGCATATACATTTTTTAAAAAAATTGCCATTGAGTAGCTTGTAATTCATGGTGACCCCATGCATCAGAAGAACTGTGCTCCACAGGGTTTTCAGTGACTGTGTTCTTTTAAAAGTATATTGCCAAGCCTTTCTTCTGAGGTATCTGTGGGTAGATTCAAACCCCCAGTCTTTCAGTTAGTAGCCAAATACTTAACCACTTTTACCACCCAACTACCTGTATCTATGTATATGCTCATTTATATGAAAAATGTGCTTACAGAGTCTCAGTGTCTATAAATCAAAAACCAAACTGACTGCCATTGAGTCGCATCCGACTCATAGCGACCCCTCCTTGGGTTTCCAAGATGGAAGTAGATTGCCCAGTCTTCCTTCTGAAGAGTGGCTGGTGGGTTTGAACCACCAGCCTTCTGGTTAGTGGTCAAATGCCGTAGGCACTATGCCACCAGAGCTCCCACAGTGTCTATGTTGTTGTTGTTATTTGCCGTCGAGTCAGCCCCGACTCATAGCAACCCCTCCTTGGGTTTCCGAGGCAGTATCACTACGGAAGTAGGATTGCCCAACCTTCCTTCCAAGGAGTGGCTGGTGGCTTTGAACTGCCAGACTTCTGGTTAGCAGTCAAGTGCCTTAGGCACTATGCTACCAGAGCTCCTACAGTGTCTATAGGACCCTCGTTTTATAGATGGGGCTGCTGAGGCCCAGAGAGGGTAAGGAACCTCCCCAAGGTCACACAGCAGCCCTTGGGTGTTCATTTACATGGCTCTGAGCACATCTTGGGAGCAGTTGTGAGCCTGAGGTCATAGCTTATGGTGTGGCCCTATGTGGCTGCTCTGCAGGGCAAGCCTGGTCCAGGGTGAGAAACGAGAGCCCTACAGCCTTCTCTGCCCTGGAGTAAGCACTGGTGTCCTCATCTCCCCGTCCTGGTCCCTGCAGGACATCAGCAAGAGGCTCTCTCTGCCCATGGACATCCGTCTGCCCCAGGAGTTCCTGCAGAAGCTACAGCTGGAGAACCCAGACCTGCCCAAGCCACTCAGCCGCATGTCCCGCCGTGCTTCCCTGGTGAGTCTCACTACAGACCAGGGCCACCAGGGTGGTATACCCTCTCCCCAGCATGGATGCATCAGTCCTGGCGTCATCTGTCCCAGCCTCAACCTGGCCACAAGAATTCTCTAGCTCTCCAGCAGTTAAAGGGTTAACAGGAAGGGAAGTAGTAAAGAGGGGAGGTGGTTGCCACCTGAAGCTGTTTCCAGGTAGGTTCCTGGGCCTCTGGTGCCACCTGCTGGCCATAGTGCTATGAGTCGGGTCTGACTCAAGGGCACATAACAACAGAAGGGTCCCACTGGGGCTGGAACTACACTCCAAGGCCCCTCCGAGCCCACCAGGATAAGAAAACCGGCTGGCACGTGCTTCCCAATCCTGGCTGCCTATTACATTTGCCTGGGAGTATCTTACAAACAAAGACTTCTGGGTCTCAGTCTAATTACCTACAGAATCAGAATGTCTGGGTAACAGGGCCCAGGGATCTGTATTGTTAAGAGCTGGTTACCATTACCACTGAGCTGGAGGAAGTTTGCTGATGAGAGAGACTGTCAGGAGGTAGATTCAGAGCCAGATGCAAGAAACAGTGGAGAAGAGGACACAGTACGTGCCTTCTGAAGCTTGTCATCTATGACCATGATGTGCCACCATCCCAGGAGCCACAGCTCCTCAGATGGAGGAGGAAGCTCAGGGCTGGGAGGGGCTTACATCACATTCCCAAGGGCTCCTTCCTTTATCACAGAGATAAAGGGAACAGGTGCTGAGACAGGTTTTAATCTTTCCTCAGCCCTGCTGGTCTCAGTTGTTCCCTCTCCACACAGTGGTCTCATTCCTCTCCTTCCCAGAGGCTGCAGGTTGGCAGTGGGGAATGTGGTAGTGTATGTAGGGCTGCTGGGTAGGGGCTTCACACTCACAGGACCTTCTGTCTTTCCCTCTCAGTCAGACATCGGCTTCGGGAAACTGGAAACGTATGTGAAACTGGACAAACTGGGGGAGGTAAGAGGCTGGGCTTGGTCTTCTTTGGCAGCCAGGCAGGATGTTAGGAGGAGGGACAGGGATTCTCCCAGCCCTGCCTGTTCTCCCCTCTCATTGTCCCTGCGTGTACACAGAGGGGTATAATCTTGGCCCTGCAGTTAGCCCACCTCTGACAGGTGTTGAGGTGATCCCGGTTCTGAAGGAGGGCCTGAGGGTTGAGTGGTCCATGGGCTCTGGCGGAATCTAGTCTCTTTTCCTTTAAGTACTTCTTGTCAAAGTTCAGATCCCAACTCCAATATTTACTAGTTCCATCTGTGGCCTTGAGCAAGTTATGTGACCTCTCTCTGTACCTCGTTTTCTTCCTCTGTCAAAAAGAGATGATAATTGTTCTACCCTATGGGGTTGTGAGCATTAAATACGTTGATGTAATAAGTTTATTGCAGTCCCTGGGTGGGGCAAACAGTTAATGCACTTGACTGCTCACTGAAAGTTTGGAGGTTTGAGTCTACCCAGAGATACTTGGTGATAGCATGATATCCTCCAGGGATTGGTCCCTTCTGACAACATGATCAGAGTAGGTCTTGGTGATCTACTTATGAAAAATCAGCCGTTAGAAACCCTAGGAAGCACAGTTCTACTCTGACATACATGGGGTTGCCATGAGTTGGAGTCGACTTGATGACAACTGGTTAATGAGCTTATCTGTAGCACTTAGACAAGTGTTGTTGTTAGGTGCCATTGAGTAGACTCTGACTCATAGCGACCCTGTATACAATAGAATGAAACACTGCATGGTTGTGCTCCATCCTCACAATCTTTGCTATACCTGAGCCCATTGTTGCACCCACTAGGTCAATCCATCTTGTTGAGGGTCATCCCCTTTTTCGCTGACCCTCTACTTTACTAAGCATGATACCCTTCTCCAGGGACTGGTCCCTTCTGACAATATGATCAAAGTGGATGAGACGGAGTCTGTCCATTCTCAGGTCCAAGGATCATTCTGGCTTCTCTTCTTCCGGAACAGATTTTTTAGTTCTTTTGGCAGTCTGTGGTATTTTCAATATTCTTTGCTGACACTACAATTCAAAGGCATCAGTTCTTCTTCGATCTTCCTTATTCATTGTCCAGACAAGTGTGGTGGTACATAGTAAATGTCTCCCTATTGCCTGGTACTGTTCTCACTGTGTTAGGCTTTGTGTTAGAGACGATAGGTGGGCACAGGTTTACAGAGAGAAGGAAGACACAGCCCTGTCCCTCAAGGAATCCACAGAGAAGACCTCTATGTAAGCCTCAGCTTAATATAAGGAGAACAAAATCGGTATCACAACAGAGGGGTCTCCAGCACCATGGGAAATAGAGGAAGAAGCAGGTCATTCTGACTGGACAGGAGTTAGGAATGGCTTCCCAGAGGAAGGGGGCTTTGGAGTAAAAAGAGAATTTGAGTAAAGGGAGGAGAAGGGGGAAGGACACTCAGGCTGAGGCTGCAGCCTAAGCAAAGGCACAGAGGGGAGAAGGCATTGGACAGAAGAGACTGGGACCTGAACCGGGCCTGGGGCTGATGAGGTCCTTGTTCCCAGGGCACTTACGCCACAGTCTTCAAAGGGCGCAGCAAACTGACGGAGAACCTGGTGGCCCTGAAGGAGATACGGCTGGAGCATGAGGAGGGGGCACCCTGCACTGCCATCCGAGAGGGTACAGCATCCTAGGGTGCTGCATCTCAGGGGCTTCTGGGAGCACTCTGCCCCAGGGCACTGGGGAGGAGGGGTCAGTGCCTGAGATAGGGTGGGGGGGCAGGGGGTTAGCCTGAGAGTGGAGGATCATTTATGGAGTAGGAACTCTTGGGGTCAATTCCAGGAAGAGAGGGTATGGGGGCACATGGGGCCCCAGGGACCCAGGTGGGCCTGTCTCCCCCCAGTGTCTCTGCTGAAGAACCTTAAGCATGCCAACATCGTGACCCTACACGACCTCATCCACACAGAGCGGTCCCTTACCCTGGTGTTTGAGTACCTGGTGAGTTGGGCTGGGGCTGGTGGCCTGCCCCTTTGTTGGTTCTAGAATCAGGCTCTCAGATGCCCTCATGCAGGGGTGCAGAAAGGCTCAAGCTTGAGGAGAGCTCAGAGCTAAAGGCCTGTCACCAAGCCCCTTCCATTGCTTGTCTCACTGTTGGGCTTGGGCTTCCTTCTTACCTGGAGTCTGGACTTCTGGCCAGGGGTCAGGACAGGCTCTATGTTCCAGGACAGTGACCTGAAGCAGTACCTGGACCACTGTGGGAACCTCATGAGCATGCACAATGTCAAGGTGAGGACCTCTGGTGGCAGGGACTCCCACCTTCGGGGCCTCCACGCATCTTCAACCACTTGTCCTGAAGCCCCCATGGGATCCCACTCCTGCCACCAGGACCCCAGCTGCTGTGGTTGCTCAGAGCTTTCATTGTAGGTGGGAGGGAAAGGACTCTGGCCTTCAGTGAGTACCGGGAACTGGGCTGAGCACCTTACCTACGCAGACATATGTCCTCTGCCAGCCATGAGCTGCTGGTGTAAAACCTCTCATCTGTTTCTGAGCATCATTTTCCCCATCTGTCCATTTCTCCATCTGTCAAATGGAGTCATGAGCTACCTACCAGAATGAAAGGAGGTTTCCAGGGAATGGATGACCTCTTCCATGTTTTTAAAGAGTTGATCATATAAGATCTCCACACAGGCAGGCTCCTGACCAGCCGTGCCTTTCCCCACAGCTCCCTGGCCACAGAGCTCTCTGTCCTCCTCCTGATACCTGGTACCCACCCCTCTGGATGGGATTTCTGGTGTGACTAGGGCCCAAGATGGGCTGTAGGGTGGTCAGGAGAACCAAGTAGCTTGTCCAGGACTGGTGCTGACTTCTCTCCCCCACCCTCAGTCCTGGCCACAGGACAGCAGCTCAGGGTCTCCAAGAGGAAACATATTCCCACCGTTCATCGCTCACCTCTTCCTTCCCCTCCTAGATTTTCATGTTCCAGCTGCTTCGGGGCCTTGCCTATTGTCACTGCCGTAAGATCCTACACCGGGACCTGAAACCCCAGAACCTGCTTATCAATGAGAGGGGGGAGCTGAAGCTGGCAGACTTTGGTGAGGGCCAGGAGCCCATCAGGGCTAGGGAAGGGGTCTGACTCAATCAGATGAACAGTCTCCTCAGAGTGTGGGTGCAATGGGGTTGGGCTTAGAAGTCGACCCAGCAGTACCTGCAGGTGGAGGCTCAGTGACCCATCTGCCCCCAGGACTGGCCCGGGCCAAGTCAGTGCCCACAAAGACCTACTCCAATGAGGTGGTGACCCTGTGGTACAGGCCTCCCGATGTGCTGCTGGGCTCCACGGAGTACTCTACCCCCATTGATATGTGGTGAGTGGGCGCCACATGCGCGAGGGGAGGCGTGGGGTCCTGTCCACACCTCCAGACTCCCATTTGCTGCCCCAAGGGCCTCTGGGAAGAACTACCTAAGCTCTTTGACTGAAAACAATGTAGTATCCTGTTGAACTGGATATTAAAAAATTAACAGTGAGAGATTAGGGTTTCCTGATGCTAAGCATACACTCCAAAAGTGTGCTTCTTAGGGGCATGTGGGTCCAGGGGACCCCACAGTAAATGTGATGAATCTTCCCCAAGTATAAGTCCTACTGAAAGTTTTGGAAGGGATGCATTGTTATGTTAAAATTAACACGCACATGCAATTTGGTGTAGGATGAAAAATCAGCCCAGTTTTAAAGCTAAAACACACAGTTTCCAGTGAAGGGCCACATGTCCTGTACCCAGAGGTTCCCTAGGACAGTAGGTTTATGTATCTCTGCCAGGGGCTTAATATGAATGGAAACTGAGACAGTACTGCTTAAAGATCTGTCACGGGGGCGTTGGAAATGCAGACTCACACCTCACAGAGTCCAAGGGGAAAGGTCCAACTCCCTGGGGCCCAGGGAAGCCCCCATGTAGAGGCTATGGTGGGGGCTGGACTATGCTGGGAGCCTTATGCTGTGGACCACCCATCCCACAGCCATCACCCCACTGTGACTGGGCCTCCTTGTACCCTGGTGGTTCAGCTCTAGGAGGATGTGGGAGGAGGCCTAGCCTGACACCACCCCTGCTCATTGTTCCCTGCAGGGGCGTGGGCTGTATTCACTATGAGATGGCCACCGGAAGGCCCCTTTTCCCCGGCTCCACAGTCAAGGAGGAACTGCACCTCATCTTCCGCCTACTTGGTCAGTCTCCTGTAGTGCCTTCCTCTCACCACCAGGGGGTGCCAGAGCTCTGTCCAGCCCTCTCACAGGAAAGGTCTGTGAAGAGCAAATGGCTCAGGCCTACTCAATGGGACAGAGAGAGACCCCTGTGGCCGTGCCTGTTCTCTGCTTCCACCTCCTACGTTGCACCCCTGCCGAGTTGGCCTGTCTCTGTCTCCTCACCTATGCCCTCCCACGCCCTCTCCTCCCCCCAGGGACTCCTACAGAAGAGACGTGGCCAGGTGTGATGTCCTTCTCAGAGTTCCGAACCTACAACTTCCCCCGGTACCTCCCCCAGCCACTCATCAGCCATGCTCCCAGGTAGAGCCCCTGCTTCCCACACCACCCCTCGTGCTTCTGGTCCTGGCTTTCCCTCCAGGAGGGGGCCACACTTTCAGGCTTCTCACCCCCACACAAGCAAGGCCTGTGTCAGCTCCTTCCTCTTGCAGGTTGGACACTGATGGCATCAACCTCCTCACCAGCCTCCTCCTGGTGAGTATCTGCCCAGTGAGGCCCAGGGACTGGCAGCCAAGGAGACCTGAAACTCTAAGACCCCATGTTACACCCCACTTCATGGCTTTCATAGTCATTGAAACATCCCCACTATACTCTTCACCACCAAGGCCTGAGAGGAATGCTTATCTTCCTGCAAAGACTTGAACTCACTCTGAACTTTAACCTGTTCACTAGCTGTGTGGCTTTGGGCTAGTTCCATAACTTTCCTGTTCCTCAGTTTCCTCAACAGTAAAATAGAATTAATAACACATGCTTTATGAGATGGTTGTGAGGATAAGTTAAGTTTATGGAACTCACTGGGAATGGTGCCTGTCTTGAAGTAAGCACACAGCGAAGAGTAGTTGCTGGTATTAAGTATAAATATCCCTAACATTAATGTCATGATTATGGTTGCTTTAGCATGTCTATTTTCATCCCAAGAGCAGGTCACTCTCCCTAAGTCCCATTTCTGGTTCTTCTGGTAGCTGGAAGCCTGGGAGCCTGGGCCCTAAGACTGCTTGGGGCTGGATTAGAGGAAGGGGGGCTGACAGCTGACCCCAAAGGTTTCTCAGGTGGAACTCAGCCTTCCGCTCCATCATGCTGATCTAACTTAGCATAGAGTAGTGCTGCCTAGAAAGGTCCCCATGGCCCTCCAGCCAGGGCCCAGTAGCCTATCCTATGCCTTTCAGTACGAATCCAGGAGGCGTGTGTCAGCAGAGGCAGCCTTGAACCACCCCTACTTCCGGTCTCTGGGTGAGCGTGTGCACCAGCTGGAAGACAGTAAGTGGAATTAAGGAAAGGGTGCAGCTGCTGTGGGCAGACCTTGGGTCCTGCTGAGCAGCCTTGGGTTACCCCCAGTGGTAACTGAACTGAACCAAACTCACTGCCATTGAGTCACTTCTGACTCATAGCAACCCCCATTGGGTTTCCAAGGCTATAAATCTTTACAGAAGTAAATTGACCCATCTTCCTTCTACGGGCAGCTAGTGGGTTTGAACTGCTGACCTCCTGGTTAGTAACCAAATGCCTTATCCAGTATGCCACCAGAACTCCTTTCCTTCAGTGGTAGTCATTTGTAAATAGGGATCTGAGATGTTGGCCTGGGGGCACGCTAAGGTCCCCTGGGCCAGTCCTAACTGAAGAGGGCCCCAGCCCGGGGGTGCCCCTAGCTCCATGCCCTTGGTGGGTGTGGTAGCAGCAGGGTTCCCACCCTCGACTTTCCCCCTGCCTTTCTCCTCTCCCTTACCCCAGCTGCCTCCATCTTCTCCCTGAAGGAGATCCAGCTCCAGAAGGACCCGGGCTACCGGAGCCTGGCCTTCCATCACCCAGGTAGGGCCATGTGCCTCCCCCACCCCCACCTCTGAGTAAAGGAGGCCAGGAGGAAACTTCTCCTGGGGTCCTGCAGGGCCTGATCCCCTGTGCAGACTCCCTCTTGAGGAGCAGAAGGACCCCAGAATTGGGACCCAGCAGCCCCTCCTGTGATGGGCATTAGCAGGGCTCCCCACCATGGCCTCCCTCCAGGACCCATGGGCTGCAAAAGAGCTGTGTTCTCTGTCTCCCGGCCAGGCCACCTCCTCCTGCCTCCCTGTCCTCACCACCTCCCCAAACTTCCCCCATCCCCAACAGAACACTGCATCTGACAGTGGCCCTGACAAAGGTACATATTCTTTGCAAACTCTGAGTTCCCTAAACAGCTCCATCCTGGGAGAACTAAACTTTGTCTTTAAAACCCTGATTGCCTCCGAGGTGACAAAATGCCTTCTATGCGTTCTCTCTCTGAATCCTTAAAACATCCTTTGAAGTTGGTACAATCAATGCTTTCCATTTCACAGTCATGAAACTGAAGCTCTGAAAGGTTGAGTCACAACTAAGTAGCAAATAAGTAGCAGAAATGGGATTCGAGCCCAGGACTGGCCAGTTCTGGAGCACAGGCCCTTGCCCACTCTCAGAGTAGCTGCTCTGGGTGACACCCCCTGAAGCCCTACCTTTCCCCCTCTGCTCCCCAGGACGAGGGAAGAACCGGCGGCAGAGCATCTTCTGAGCCAAGAGCCCTGTTAACGCTGAGGGATGAGAGGTCACACCGACCACAGCAGCAGGATGGCGTCTGCACCACCTCTGAGGGCTAATGGCTGCCCAGAAGGCAGTGTGGCAGCCCTGCTGGCCACGGGTGTTCCTTTCCCTGATTCCCACATGCCTCCCTGTGGTCTTCATCTGGGCACCAGTCCCTCCATCACCCATCCTAGGGCTGGGCATTATTTGCTTCCCTGGTAGGAGGTGAGGGGCAGGGGTGGCCTTGGACCCTTTCCCACCCTGAAGTGCTTGGGCACCAGTGTGGGACCCATGCAGACAGATTGCGGGTATCAGGCACAACTGTGCCCTCCACCCTTTATCACCTTCTTCTCTGACATGACACCTCCTCTGGGGTCCCAGAATCCTGGGTGCCAATGTGTGTGCCAAATCCTACCCCTCCCCTAAGGGGCTGGTGTCCCTAGAGCACCAGAGGAAATGATAGCCCCATACCTCTTCTTACCATCCCTACCCTGCTCCCCCAACTCATCAGAGGCCCCCATATACCCTCAGGCTTGAACCAAGGTTGGGTGGCACTGGAATGGTGACAGACGCCCAGCTGAACCCAGTGGGGCCTGCTCCTGCCAGCTGTGCGCCTGCTGCCCTGCCAGCCCCTGTCCTAGCCCCGAGAATGAATGGAATTGCCTTAAATCGGCAGGTGGTAGAGTGCTCCCTGCCCCTGGAGCTCTGACCCCAGCTCCTACCTGTTCCTTCCCAATAGTGACTCCTTATCACCCCTGAGCTCTGATAACCCAGTCCTGGGACAGGGGCATGAGGATGGCCCCCAGACATGCAGGGTCACCCTGACACTAGTGACAGGCCACCTTGGTTCCTTGGGACTAGCATAGCCTTCACTGCCCCCTTTCCTAGTCCTCGTGGCCCTGTCCTTGCTCCTCCTGAAGCTGACACCAGCCTCCCTCCTCCCAGGTCACGAGAGGGAGAGTAGTCACAGGCCTGGGTGCAAATGCCAATCTAAGGTGAAGGAAGGTGGATGGCAACGGCTTCCCCAGGGCTGGGAGGATGAGGGGCCACAGCCCCCAGAGAAAACACCATTCATCACCCCCTACCCAGAAAGCTTGTTGTTCCACAAGTCTCCTCAGCACCTGGCTGAATCATGAGTGGCAGAGGCCAAGGGGAGGCCAGGCCCTGCCTTTCCACACAAGCCCCCTGCCCAGCCCAACCTCCTCGACCTGAGGCGACTCCTCGAAGCCCCTCTGCTTCCCTGCCCCAGGGAAGCCACCCCCCTCCCTCCGCCACTGTACTGTGAATGTTCTGTGACTCAGCACAAAGACAGATAATATATTTAATTCATGTTGTACAGAAGAAGCACAGTCTCGTGCAGAAAAGCTGACTTTGACAGATTATTGCCAAAGATGGAGGAGCCAAGGCTCCTCTCCAGGCCTAAGGAGTGTGGGTGGGTTGGCTCCTCTCTCTCTCTCTCTCTATATGAAGTCGAGAGAGAGTTTGATTTGTGTGTGTCTGAACCCACCCACAGGCTGTGGGAGGGTGGCCTGGACCCTCTCCTAATGTCTTCCTGGATGCTGCTGAGCTCAGAGCTGAAAGCTATGGGCCAGGTACGGTCTGTGGTGCTGGTGAAGGCAGAGGAGGTGCAGGCCTGAGCGTCTGTGTTGCCTGTCCTGGTCTTAGTGTCCTGGTCTTAGCTGGCCAGGAGAGGAAAGGGGGGGGCTGGGGTTCCAGCTGTTGCTGCTTCTTTCTGTGTCTCTCCTACCCAGATGGCTCCCAGTCTTCCTGGGAGGAAGGGAGGTTAAAAAAAGGCCAAAGCCAGGACAGCAGACCTGGGGTACAAAAAAAATAAAAACAAACAGTCACTGTTGATCCTGAGTCCTGGTGACCCCTGTGTGTGGGAGCAGACAGTGCTACATGGAGTTTTCGATGGCTAATTTCTTAAAAGTGGATTGCTGGGCCTTTCTTCCAAGGTGACTCTGGTAGCCTTGAACCTGCAGCCTTTCAGTTAGCAGCTGAGCACATTATATCACCCACCCTCACTGTAATCCTGGCCCAGCATTTAATTCCTACAAACCTTAATTCACTCTCTTCTTCCCAAACCACCTTCACCTTGATGCTAGACGTAATTCCCTTTCACACGTCTCCTGATGTTCTCAGAATCCTGATTTGTTTTCCAATTCAACGTCTGGATTTGTCCCCATCCACCTAGGCCATGTCTCCTGGGCTTATCTACCCAGTGGTCTCATTTCTGGCCTTAAGAACTTTGTAATTTGCTGGCATATTTGAGGGAGCAGCTGCTTTCCTAAGGAGGAAGCTAATGTTAAGAGGTTGGGGGTGGCTTCCAGGCCATGCTGTCAGTAAGGGGTGGACCATGGCTCCATTCTCAGCCCTCACCTCTTTGCAAGCAACCAGACAGATGCCTGATTGTGGAACCATGACTGCAATGAGCAATCACTGCCCGGTGGGAGAGGTGGGCCCAGAAATGCATTGGTGCCTGTTAAGCTTAGTTTAGAAAAATAAACAAAGCAAACCCATTGGCATCAAGTCAATTTAGACTCATAGTGACCCCCATTGGGTTTCCGAGGCTGTAATTCTTTACAGAAGTAGATTGCCTGATCTTTCTGCAGAGTGGCTGGTGAGTTTGAACCACCACCCTATTGGTTAGCAGTCAAATGCCATAGGCATTGCACCACTGGAGCTCCTTGGAGCTCTTAAATTCCCTAATATGTTCCAGGCACTGTACTCAGAGCATTGTTTCACTGAAAACTCATAGCAACCCCATTTCTCCCCATTTTCCAGATAAAATAAATAAGACTTCCAGAAGTTAAGTGACTCGCCTGGGACACACAGCAAATTAGAACCCCAGGCCTGTCTATCACCCCAGCCCTTGACCTTCAAGGAAGAAAAGGAGTGGATAGTAAAGAGGGGAAGTATAGACTATATGGAGCCCAGCCAGGGAAACAAGCCACAGGGCAGAACCTGTGGACAGACTCCCAGACCACCATCGTCATTTGGGCAGAGTGGCCCAGCAGCTGGCAGGGGCTCCTGTGGCAGCTGTTCTTGCTGCCACAGCTGCTGGGTCTGTTGTGAAGACACCCATCTTGGGGTGATGCCCCTGAGGCTTGATCAAACCACTCAGCTTCTGCCCTAGAAAATTGTTGGGCAGGAGCTCAGCTGGACAAGGTACCACCAGCCCTTGTGTGTAGTTGTATTAATTTCCTGTGGCTGCTATAACAAATGACCATGAAGCACATGGCTTAAAGCAACAAATTTATTATCTCATAGTTCTGGAGACCAGAAGTCTGAAATCAAGGTATCAGCCGGGCCATGCTGGCTGAAGGCTCTGAGGGAGAATTTGTTCTATGCCATCCTAGCTTCTGGTGTTGCTTGGCAACCCTTGTAGTTGCATCACTCCATTTTGTGCTTCTGTCATCACACGGCACTCCCCTTGTGTATCTGTGTTTCTTTTTGTCTTATAAAAGCACCAGTCATATTGGATTAGGGCCCACCCTACGGACCTCATCTTGATTGCACCAGCAAAGACCCTATTTCCAAATTAGGTCACATTCACAGGAACTGGGGTTTAGGACTATAGCACATATTTTGGGGGGACACAATCCAATCCATAACAGGGCTCATGCCTTTCAGTGGGAAAATGGCAGCTCTGGAGAAGGTAGCTGGGTTCAGGAGCAAAGAGGCTGAGTGACTGGTTATGAGCTGCTGTGTTGTTGTTATGTGCCGTCGAGTCAGCCCTGACTCATAGCGACCCCTCCTTGGGTTTCCAAGGCAGTATCACTACAGAAGTAGGATTGCCTGACCTTCCTTCCGAGGAAGGGCTGCAGGTCACCAGAATGAGCCACACCAAAATGCCATGTCCTGGACCCTCTGCTTCCTGGGTACCCCCATGATCATTTCCTCACACCTTATGTGTGGCTCCACAAACAGCACCCTGCCCGGATCTGCTGGAATCCCAGCCATCCTTTAGCAAGATTCTTCCCCTCTGACCTCACTTTGCCATCTGCTCCTGCAACAGGTGACAAGTCAGGATTGCCTGAGGTCCACCTGGCCTTTCCCTCCCTGCTCACTTTGCAGGGGCACTTGCTTGGGGAACCTTGCAGCTTCCCGCCAAGAAACCTTGTCTGATGACAGCTGCAGGGTGAGGACGTTGGTGCATGTCCTGCCACATCAGCTCCCACCTGGGGCTGGCTCTCCTTGCCACACCCGTCCTGTGGGCCCCACCAGGCAACCAGTTCTTTACCCCTGCTTGGTGGCCTGAGTCAGCCAAGTGTCAAAACTGTTGCTAGTGGCTCACTCTTCCTGTAAGCAACTCAGCCCCTCCCACCCATCTTTTCCACCTTCATCTTTGCACCTTCCAGTCTGGACTCCATGGCACCCCATGCACCCCTTTGTCTCCAGAGCAAATCCTCAGCACCGTGAATTGCTCACAGCCACCATGCCTAGCCCTGTGCTGGGTTCTGGGACACAGAGATGAACAACATTCCACCTTCTAGGAGATCAGAAGTTGGGGGTGGCCATTCTTTCAGCAGAACTCTTCTCAGGCATCTATTATGTGCCAGGTGCTGTGCTAGGTGCTGAGGATCCAGCAGTGAACAAGACAGACAAGCCTCTGCTCTCACAGGGCTTCCATTCTAGTATGTGTGTGTGTGTGTGTGGGGGGGATTTTAACCAAGTAAACACACAGCACATCAAGGGGTCAGAAGTGTGATGAAGCAAGATGCTGGGTGGGAGGCTGGCATGACCATAGATTCAGTGACCTCTGGTAAGATCAAGTGTGAACAGTGACTTGTAGAGGAGGGGGCTATGTGGACACTCAGGGACATAGTCCCAGCAAAGTCCCCAAAGGGAACGTGATTGAGGAAAAGCAAAGAGGAGACTCTGAAATCGAGTGAGCCAGAACTGAGGGGCAGAAAGGCCAGACCACATTAGAACCAACGGGGATGCACTTGAAAAATACTGATCTCAACAGGGAGTCCCTGTGCGGTGCAA